CAGTGCAAGGCCCGCGGGTTACTGGGGGCCCCTGGTGGCCTTGAGTGCGGCCCCCGACAATGCACAACGTGTGAACACACTTCCCCATCATCATCATGCTGCTGACAAACCCAATGATACCCAATGGTCTGAAATGTGCGGCGGCCCTCACACCGATGATGTCTTATCGGCAAAAGTGGCCACCCTCTAAAAATGAGTGAAGAACACTGACCTGGAGTCTCTCTCTCTTGTGGTCTCTCTGTCGCTGTCCCCTGGGGGTCCCTCTCCCTTGGGGGGTCCCTCTCTCTCTCCCGTGGGGGGTCCCTCTCTCTCCTGTGGGGGGTCTCTCTCCCTTTGGGGGTCCCTCTCTCTCCCGTGGGGGGATCCCTCTCCCTTGGGGGTCCCTCTCTCTCCCGTGGGTGGTCCCTCTATCTCCCGTGGGGGGTCCCTCTCTCTCCCGTGGGGGGTCCCTCTCTCTCCCGTGGGGGGTCCCTCTCTCTCCTGTGGGGGGTCCCTCTCTCTCCCTTGGAGGGTCCCTCTCTCTCCCGTGGGGGGTCCCTCTCTCTAACGTGGGGGGTCCCTCTCCCTTGGGGGGTCCCTCTCTCTCCCGTGGGGGGTCCCTCTCTCTCCCTTGGGGGGTCCCTCTCTCTCCCGTGGGGGGTCCCTCTCTCTCCCGTGGGGGGTCCCTCTCTCTCCCGTGGGGGGTCCCTCTCTCTCCTGTGGGGGGTCCCTCTCCCTTGGGGGGTCCCTCTCTCTCCGTGCGGGGTCCCTCTCTCTCCCTTGGGGGGTCCCTTTCTCTCCCTTGGGGCGTCCCTCTCTCTCCCTTGGGGGGTCCCTCTCTCTCCCGTGGGGGGTCCCTCTCTCTTCTGTGGGGGGTCCCTCTCCCTTGGGGGGTCCCTCTCTCTCCCGTGGGGGGTCCCTCTCTCTCCTGTGGGGGGCCCCTCTCCCTTGGGGGGGTCTCTCTCTCTTCTGTGGGGGGTCCCTCTCCCTTGGGGGGTCCCTCTCTCTCCCGTGGGGGGTCCCTCTCTCTCCTGTGGGGGGTCCCTCTCCCGTGGGGGGTCCCTCTCTCTCCCTTGGGGGTCTTTCCCTTGGGTGGCGGAAGGGGGGGGCCCTCTCTCTCCTCTCTCTCTCTCTGTGTCGGCAGTCCCGCTCTGTGCGAGCCGCTACCACCCCCACCACCCCCGCCGCTACTCACTGCAGGCCGAGTACGCGCTGCGGCAGCGGCTCCTCGAGCGAGTCGGCGCGAGGCGGCGCGGCCTCCTCCTCCTCCTCGGCCGCACTCTCCGCGTCGCGCTCCGCCATCGTGGTCGTCATGGCAACGGGGGGTGGGGGTTGGAAACTCCGCGGGCGGTCGCCCAGGGATACGCGCCTCGACGTCATCGGCGCGTGGACACGAACTTCCCGCGGGCGGGGGGAGGGCGGTGACGGCGAGCGAATGACGTTATCGCGACTCGTTGTGAATTGCGGGATTTGACGTCATTGCTATGGATGTGTGTGTCGGTGGATGTTGTTCGTCGCTGTTGGGTTAATTGAGTCTTCGTGATAATCTTGCATTTGGAATTCTGCATGGGCGTTCTATGCACAGCATGTATATATAGATAGCGTCACCGTCTGTAACGTGCGCTACGTAAAACATATGTACGGTTAGTTTTACACGCAGTAGGCTTTCGCGGCCAATATCGATGATATTGGTTTTTGTTCCGGTTAGATCGCCAATAATATAAATGTGTCGTTAAACCCGCCACCACCCGACACAGCCAGTTAGTAAGGTTTTTCACGTGAACACAACATATTTCATTTGTGGGTTCACTCCCCAACACACCGGTGTGCTTTACTGGTAACGAATTGGCACGTTTTGTTTACGTGACAAACCTCAACTAATTGGCTGTGTCGGGTGGCGGAGGGTTTAACGACGCATTTACATTCATCTGTATGGTCGATGCACTCGCGGTGATAATCAGGGGCGGCCGCTGGATTGGAACCGCGAACTTTCTCTCGCCTTTGCACTCCTATCGACCTTATTGTTGTTGTCATCGTTGCTGCAACTCGTTGACTCCGATGCCCATGCTGGGCATCTGTGAAAAATAAGTTTCGCAGCTCATCGGATTGCTCCTCCAGGATGGAGAAAGATTCTGATTCTGAACGCGCTCCCGAGTGTTAGATGCCAATGCCTTTATGAATGTTCGCTCTCAGCTGTCAATATACCTCGTTCGGGAAGTTGTGGGAATATTCCTTAAGGGCTCTGCTGAATTTTGATTTAAAGCTTTCGTGACGGCAGGGATTCATATTCTTGGTTCTTTCGGTAAAGTCACCACGTAGAAGGGAAACAATAAAATAGTAAAAAATATAAAACAAAATTCTCACGACGTTTCGACTGCAACACAAGCAATCATCATTGTTTGCCTTCTACGCTAAAGTCACGTAGAAGGGAAACAATAAAATAATAAAAAATATAAAACAAAATTCTCACGACGTTTCGACTGCAACACAAGCAATCATCATTGTTTCCCTTCTACGTGACTTTACCGAAAGAACCAAGAATATGACTCTGCTGAACACGTATATTTGTTCGCGTTGGTGTCTTAGTCTTTGTTGCTGCTGCTGCTGTGCGCACCACCGCTGATCTCCCGTGTAGAAATAAGCCGGGGAACTGGCTGAACAGACTCATCATCCTTGCAACACATGCAACTCAACTTCATCGTGAGGCTGTCTTTCAACAGTCGTTGGCCGAGCGAGCCTGTGAACAAATTGATTCTGTGACAGACAGGCTATGAAATATTTGCCCGTGACATGGAGCATCGGCTGATGTGTTTCGTTGTCCTCCGGCACCTCCGCTTAGCACGGTTGGCTACATGCGGCACGTGCAATGGAGAACAAACTGGATCGGTTTGACATTGCAGTGCCTCAGCAGCGCTTGCCAGGTGCACAATTTAAATAACGCGATGCACATCATAACCAAAACACTGAAATCGACACCCGTGTAGGCCTCCCCTGCACTGGCTTCCAGTTTCACATAGCATACAGTTTAAAATCATATTAACATACAAAGCCGTGAATCACCTTGCTCCTTGCCGACATCATTGACATGCATGCTGCAACCGTATTTCCCCTGAAGGTCCCTAAGATGCGGGGATGCAGATCGTCTCTGCATGCTCAGGTCGAGACTTCGGTCTAAGGGTGACCCAGATTTTCCCCGTGTAGCCCCCAGGCTATGGAACGCTCTTGCACGAGATACCAGGATCTCTGAGTCTGTGGACATTAAAAGAAAATTGTCTTAAAAGCTACGTATACGCTTCCGCTTATTAAACTTTTAGTTCATTTTATACATTGTTTTTTAAATGTATTTATAATCATTGTTTATGCTGATTGTCTGTTGCTGATGTGTCCTGTACATCGCTTTGAGATCCTTGATGATAATCGCTACATAAATGGATTATTATTACCATTCCCTGGCGAACATTCTGACACCAAATATCCGCATGAGACTGCAGACTGCAAGGGAGTGAACACGTTTTATTGTCAACGACAGCCACCTACCCATCATCAACCACAACCTCAAACAATGCTCCTGTCTGCCAACTTAAATCTCCGACCCTCCCTTCTGGGAACGCGCTGCTTATCGCCATCCTGGCATCTCACCCCGTTGCGGGAGAACGCTGCTGGCGAACAGAGTGGAACAACGCGAACGTACACAATACACACCTCATTTGAGACCCCAAAAAAATCGCACCATCTCGCTTTGACATTCCTCTTCGAGGGCACTGGTGAACCATCAACCGTGCCAAGAACATGTACAGACTGATGCGCACATGAATTTGAAATTAAAGAAAAGCCACAGTAGTGCGACTGAAAGAACTACACACATTTTTTTTTTATTTCACCAGATAAGGCCCACTGAGCTATATAGCTCTTTTTCAAAAATGACTTGACCACAAATGAATGCTCAACGAAGTGGATTATCACGTGGAAATATACAGTATATAGCAGCCAGATACTCTAAAGACATGTTTATAAATGTGGAGGGAAACACCGGAGGACCCGGATAAAAATCCACGCGACCACGGGGTGAGAGAAATGCAAACTCCAAACATACAGCAGGCCTCAGGGTGGGAATCGAGCCCACGACCTCCTGTGTACCAGGCGAGGTAGTTAACATCTCGCCACCGTGGCGCCCATCTCGCCACCGACTGTGCCTAGGCAATCCAAACTAAGGACCATAACAGTAAACCACTGTGAGTGCGCGCTCCTTCAACGTAGGAGGAACAACAAGACGACGACAAGGGAGTCAGACATTACATCGTTAAATGGCTTGGGCCAGGAATTGTGCGGTGAGAAATCGGCTAATGCGGGACAGGTTGAAAAGGTCGTCAGATTGAGGCGCACACGTGTCAAAGACGAGCACGCACGGTGTGGTTTGAGCGGTGGGTGCTTGGTGCGGACGGGGCCGAGGGGGGGGGGGGGGGGGGTCCCTCCTTGGTCGAGTGCGCCGGCATTGGAGTGCGACGTGCAGCTCGAGAGCTACCCGGCACGGCGCGGCGTGCTCCCGTCCGGGGGATGTTCACCGCCCGTGGTAGCAGCAGGAGCAGCAGGAGCAGAAGCTCGCGCTCAGAATCTGGATCTTTATCGAGAGTTGGAGGAGAAGGAATCCGATGAGCTATGAAGCTCATTGATTTCTGCAGATGTCCAGTAGGGGCAACGGGTAACAGCAAGTTCCAACAACAGACAATGCAAACAACCGATTGCAGTGCAAAGTGTTAGGAAAGACAAGCACGTCACTATAAACACATTATACCCCTACTCTTTGGTTCTATTCGGTAAAGTCACGTAGGTAAAACATATAAGTACCACGCTCGCCTCTGCAGTAGAAGCCCACCCCTACCCCTCCCCCACCCGGCACACCACATCACGGGCGGCGAGCGAGCGAGCGCATCACGCCCGGCGCGCCGCAGTGGCGACCCGCACCGAGCACCCTGCCCCCCACCCTGCCCCCCCACCCTGCCCCCCCTGCCCCCCCCCCTCGTGCCCGCGCGGGGAGTTTCCCCGCACTCAGCGCCCCGCTCAGCGCCACCAGTGACGTCACTGAAGCGCCGTCCCTATTTGTGTGGCGCGGAGACGCGGCGCGCCCGGCACTCCCGGGGCCGCGGCTCGCCCTCGCCTCCCACCTCCCACCCCGTGTGTCTTCTGCGAGCTGCGTTGCGGAAGAGCGGGCCGGGGCCGGAACGTCGGCCCTGCGCCCCGAGGTTGATGGCTGCGGCGGGGCTACCGGCGCGTCGATGACTCAAGCGCGGTGATGGGACGTCCCGCCGGCCACGCCGCTCGCTGTCCGCGGCATGGGGCTGAAGCCGAGCTCTGACGGGCGAGCCCGGACCGCCTCGGGGCCAGGGATTGCGGGGGTCTCGGGCCACCAGCCCCATCCTCTCCATCACCCCCACCAGCCACACCAACACCACCACCAGCCGCATCATCATCACCATCACCACCACCATCAGCAGCCGCCGCCGCCGCCGCCGCACGCGGGGCTGGCGCTGGGGCGAGCCGTGCTGGGGCCGCACAGCCCGGGACTAGCGGGCAGCCAGGGACCGGGGCAGCAGCTGCTCCTGCACGCGTCGGCGAGGACTCGATCGGGCGGCACGGGCAGCGCTCCCGACGTGCGGCGCAACGCGTCCATCCCCATCCCCGGCCGGACGGCGTCGTTGGCAGCAAGCGGTGGTGCCAACGGGCGGCAGGGAGCCGGAGCGAGCCCCGGGGCCCACGGGCATGGGAACGCGCATGGACACGGGGACACGGGTGCGTCGGGACCGGCGCAGCACGAAGACGCGGGGGGGTCTGGGCGCGCGGGACGGCGCGCGGGGAGCCGCGGATCGGCGAGACGTGACGAGGGTGCCTCGCTCTCTCGCTCGCTGCCCTTGCACCTCAGCCCCAGGATATTCGGTGGTAAGAGCGCTCGCTGCGGCTACTGCTGTTGATGGGGGAGGCGGCGGCGGCGGTGCTGCTGCTGCTGCTGGTGAAGGTGGCGCTGGTGGTGTCGATGGTGCCATCACACATGTACGCGGAGGCAATGGGGACACGCGTTGCGTCACTCGCAGACAGACCTCTCGCCTGGCTGCACACAGTGTTTTTGCCTTGCCCGTAATACCGTATGCTGTGTTCGTTCATTCATTCATTCACTCACGTACGCATTAGTTGTACGCGTTAATGCATGCATGCATGCATTCCTTCACTCGCCATCACTGCCCATTAATGTAGTCGTTCATGTATTTATCATTTCTTTTGTTCAATGTATTCATCAACCCGTTCAGTCGTGTATGCCTCGAGTCATTCAGTCATCTCGACATGCACCGACTCACCCGTTACGTCTCAGGGTGTGTCGTGAATGGGGTCGCTTCCTCTGCTCGGCCTGACCTTGATCACGCGCCGCCCGTGATGCGAACACGGCCGAGGCAATCGCCCTGCACCATTCGGCTGTGCGGAGGGTCCGTGCGTGCGTGCGGTGGCGGTGATGGCGATGGTGGTCATGATGCTGATGATGATGATGGTGGTGGTGATGGTGACGGCCCGAATTGTTTGCACATTCCACCGGAGTCTCGCCGAAAATATCAAATTATTGATGAGCAACCAAGCGGCGAGCGTGACCATGTTTACACGAGTGGGCGTGGGGGTGGGGGGGGAGACGAAACAGTTAATGTTAAACAAACTTTAAACAAATCCTAACATGAATAGGCAGACGATTAGCCTCCTTCACGCGTCTGTCCCTTCACATAAAACGTGCACATTTTTTGGTTTCGCAAATCCCATCAGCGACACGGCCTTTCGGGGAGTACACCTTCCGGCAGCCCCGCCTGGCTGCCGGAGGGGGTTACGGCAGCCCTGCCCTGCCGATGAGCAAGAAGACGGCTGAACCTTCTCAGCGATGACCTCGGTCGTAATGTCGCTACGTTTATTCACGACGCGTGGCCCGCGGTCAGCCGCCCCTCCGAGTCTCTGATCGCAGCGTGAGGCAGCGTCACCTGTTCCGACTCGCTCGGGGCCCGGGCTAAGGCACCAGGGCTCTCTGCCGGCGCAAAGGCTCCGGACATGTGAACAGTCATGGAACACGGCAGGCGCGCCGCGCACACGTTTGCGGGCTTACTGGACGAGAACAAGCGCCGTGCGCTTGCGAAACGCCCCGCTGGAGCCTTTTTTTGTAAGCGAGCGGACGTGCGTGAGATCAGCACCGCGTCTGTGTGCGCGTGCGTGCGACCAAGATGTGTGGACATCTGTGGAGGCCGGCGGCTACACCTCGTTTAAGTGCCGCACTGGGTGTGAGCGGTTTTATTGGTCGGGACGGATACGTTGCAGGCGGATATGCGACGTTGTTTCTGTATCGACCAACGCGCAGTTGGCTGTGTTCAGAGCTCGCAATCGCTGTGGTTAGAGCTCACAATCGAAACGTTTAAAGGGCCCAGGTCCGGGGGTGGACTTAGTCTTTCGTGCGTCTGGCGCGGTGGTGGATGGTAAGGGAGGGGGGGTCAATAAATCAGGTACCATGTTGTTGCAATTTGACAACGGCGGCGATGCTGTGTGGACAGACTGAGGTCCACGTCGAAGTGGATCTCTCCAGCACTGTGCACTGTTAATCGTGGCCAGCTCTCCCCCGCCACATCCCCGGTGAGCGATTCGCACCTGGGAGTTGAGAGTAAAAATACCACCGCGCGCCGGAGAGAGAGCCACGTGTCTGCTCCCATGTGGTGCAACAGGTTGCTCACCGCCAGGGCCTCCATCATTATCATAATTATCCATAATAGAGGTTTTTTGGGTCAGATCGTATAACACCGCCCCCCCCCCCCAAACCCCCCCCCCCCTATATTTTGGATAATATTTGTCACGAAATCCTAATTGTTAAATTATCATCATTATTGTATTCTTGGTTCTTTCGGTAAAGTCACGTTGAAGGGAAACAATAAAATAATAAAATATATAAAACAATATAATTCTCACGACGTTTATTGTTTTATATATATTTTATTATTTTATTGTTTCCCTTCAACGTGACTTTACCGAAATAATCAAGAATATGAATCACTGCAGTCACGAAAGCTTTGAATCAAAATCATTATTGTAATTCACTTATTTACATTATCTAGAAATGCGACACTGAACCCGCCTGGCTTTTTTTTCATTAGGGTCCGGTCATTTTGGGTTTTTTATCATTAAGGATATGTTCAGCTCTTTTAATGATCAGTGTGTATTATACCAGTGGAGGAGAATAGCGGAGCTGTTCGCGGCATGGGGCTTTGCGCGAGGGGGCAACACTTGATCCCCGCGCAAATGGATATTATTACTTCTGGCTCTCAAGTACAATTTAGCAACTAGAATTTCGGTGGCCTAGCTACTGCGGAGGGCTTCCACGGCGCTTGGCTCCTCACCCGTCGCCCCCACTGATGTCCTCTTCTCCCCCGCCCCCACCCCCCATCAGTGCAGATACTACTGACTCTATTGTATGTCGGGTGTGTAGGCATATATGCCTACCAAATAAAATAATTTTAGTGGGAGCGAGGTGAAAACATTTTTTTTTTGGGGGGGGGGGGTCAACAATTTTTGTAAACCTGTTGGATCAACTTTTTACCCCACTTCTGGTTGGAGGGGGGCGTTCGAGGAGGTTCCACTTTCTATAACTTTTTGATTCAGGCCTTCTGAAAGGCTCTTATAATTTAGTTGACGGATAAACGGACAAACGGAACGCCGGGGTTTTTATAACAGAAGTGTGGTTTCACACCGGATCACTCGAGGCACGTATCGTCGCGGGTAACTAAAGCCTCACGTGTGCAACGTTAAAGGGCCGTAAATGTTAAGTTAGCGTTCCGTAAGAGGAGTTCGAAATTCTATTCACGCGCAGCAATACGTTCGGGAGCTAAATGCCAATGTCGAGGTCTGCTGGCCACGACGAGAAGGGCTTCGGGAGAGAGTTCTTGTAGTTTAACTGTCCCTCTTTTGTCAAAGGAGCGTAGACTACAGAGGTTTACTACACGGTCCATCGTTTGGGTTGCATGACCGCAATCGCACGACTGTGGTTTGTCTTGAATGCATCTCTTTATATCTCCCATGGGTCTCTGTGTATCTCTAAAGGGGTCTCTGTGTATCTCTATGGGCATCCTGTGTATCTCCATGAGTATCTCCGCGTGCCTCTATTGGTTGTGGTCCACTCTTGTGGTCCATAGTTTGGGTTGCATGACCACGATCGCACGACTACGACCCGTGCCTTTCCTTTCCCGTGAAGGAGATGTCACCCGTCGGCCTGGCGATGCTCTGACGCGGCCGACGATTCTACCGGAGTCGTCGAGGATGAACGTCTGAGAAGTTCAGCGGAGGCCTTAGAGGTTGAACTTTCGGAACCTCAGGCGAACACGAAGTGAACTGGCAGCCAAAGCCGTGCAGTGGGCAGAGCCTGGGCCTGGACAGCGATCTTCAATCACCCCATGACCCCCAACGTCACGTCAAGTCCCACCGTGGCGGAGGTTGGAGTGCCTCACTCAACACAATGTGTCAGTAACACCGTGGCCTTAAGAGGTAACGGTGTTATAATAGGTGGCATTGCGGGCAACGAACTCTTATCCACAAAGACCTCGAAACAAAAGATGAATGATGCATGCAGTGGAGTGGGGGGGGGGTGTCGAGGCAGAGCTCGGCGCGCCGTGGAGTCGCACCGTCATCTGGACACGCAGAGTGAGTGAACGAGCGCTGGATGCCTCTGGTGGGCATGGTGGTGGTGGTGGTGATGATGGAGGGGGTCGGTCACGTGGTGCGCATGAGCTCATCGCGCGTGTATATTTAGCCGGACAGGCTGCTGGAATTCCCCGTGGCGTCAACGTTGAGGCCGTGGATCGGAATTGGAGTCTCAGCGTGCGCACAGTAAACCAATCCATTCCACGTTTCGTCTCGTTGGCACGCTGAAGGCTCACCGATGAGTCACTCGTTGCACAAGACGGTAATATGGCCGGATTGGCAAAAACGTTTCATCCAAAGATGTTCGACAGTTTTACTTCTCCTTGAATTCCACGCCTATGAGATGTTGCGTGTTTACGTGTGTTTTAAAAAAAAAATCACCAATCATCGCACGCGTGGCGTCGTCCATCGGGACAATTCGCGCGTGTCCCGCAGTGGCGACGGTGGCAGCGGTCGATTCGTGTGGGACAATCCGCCCCCCCCCCCTCCTTTATCGACGAGCGCACGTAGACGATGTAGAACGGCGAACCGACAGCAGCTGCGAGCGAGTGTCGCGGAGACGCGCGCTGATTGACTGCGGTGTCAGCTCAGCGTTGTTGATTAAATTCCACATCGCGCGCATTCGCGCTCGCTCGCTTCTCGTGGGGCGCGTTCGGGTGCTGAAGGTCAACTTAAAGCAAGGAGAAGCTTTGTCGGGGGGGGGGGAAAGAGGGGGTGGGGTGGAGACGCGTTACACTCTTTCTGCACGGTGCAAACATTAATGACGTGAAACGTGCCGCGTGCTTCTCTGTTGGGACAAACAATACAATAAAGCCGCCCCTACGGTCGAAACGCCGTTGCAGGGGACTGCACTGCAGCGATGTCGCGCGTTGGCAGAGTGCGGATCTGTCGTTCCGTATACTCTGGCTGCACAGTAACTCTGTGTGCTGCGGGGGAGGGAGGGAGGGAAGAGTCGTCCGTCCTGCCGTTGAACGATGCGCGTCCCTCGTAATGATGTCTGATGTCTGGAGAGTTTAGTGTTTCCCTCGCAGGCATCATTTCTGGCCTCGATGGGCAAGACGCGTGTCTAGACGCGTGTCTCGGAGTGGGGGGGGGAGGGTGCGGGTGGCTTTAACCCTCGCGGTCGCGGTGTCTGCCTTGGCACCGGTCGAGGAGTCGACCGTGGGCACCGTGCCGTGAGCCCTGCAGGGCTCACCGTGCCGCTGCCCTGCAGGGCTCACCGTGCCGTTGCCCTGCAGGGCTCACCGTGCGGCTGCCCTGCAGGGCTCACCGTGCCGCCGCTGCCCTGCAGGGCTCACCGACACACGCGCCCTCTTTTTTGCCTGTTGGAAGAGAATCGTCAAAAGGCGCCGCGGGGTTAATCGCACCTCGCGTTGTTGACGCTTTTCGTCGAGTGTTGAAAGCGTTGTCCGCACAAGCTCCGTCGTCTGTCTGTCTGTCGGCAGTTGCAGTCGAGAGTGTTCGGGCGTCAATCTCGCAGGGGTGATGCGGCGTGAACGAAACTCAACCGCGTGGAGTTGCGCTGCCGTCAGGGACTGGCAGTACCGGATTAAGCTAGTTGCGGGGCCTGTAGCATATGCTATGGAGGGGCCTTAAATAAAAAAAACACAAATATTAAAACACACACACATGTTTAACTTGCACAGTAAAGTAATTGTATTTTTTCATTTGCTATGCGGCCAGATAATACGAAAAATCGCTAACCTTATACACCCATACTCTTTGTTTTTTTCCGGTAAAATCACGTAGGCCACTTGACACAGATATTCTGCTGTGACTATTCCACCTGAAGATGGAAGCTTGTTTTGCCTCCGAAACGTCGTGATTTAATTCAGTTGTTTTATTTTACCTACGTGACTTTACCGAAAAAACCAAAGAGTATGAATCCTTGCAGTCACGAAAGCTTCAAATCTAGACTTAAACACCCAGTCGTTCATAAAAGTTGAAGGCGGTATAGTACTGTAGTAACAGAGCAAGTGCAGAATCACTGAACCGGAATTGATAGCTTGAAAGCATTTAGCGCGGGGCCCTTGAAAGTGCGGGGCCCGTAGCTACTACTACATATGTAGTAGCTACTACATGTGTAGCTACTACATATGTACTATATGTAGTAGCTACACTGGGAACTTGGCCCTCGAGGGGGCTGCCCTCACCCTCCCCGCCTGCACTGCCGATGTCCGGACCACACCGCTGGCTGCACGCTTGACGCTTAGGCTACCGTTATCATGTTCTAATGATGATAATAATATGATCTTTTATATGTCACGTCGTCCTTCGTGCAATGTGCACCTCTCACGATCGCCGAGGAACCGCAGGCCAAGCAGTCAGGCGGTGAGAAGACGGCGCTCCCAACAAGCTCTACGGTCCTCGACATATTAAGATGTTTTCAGCCAACGAACGAGTGCTTATTATGGATTGTTAAACACTTCCTGAGGACAAACTCATGCCGTTGAACAGAATTACAGAATCCATTGCATATCCCCGCTTGGTCTTCCTCGCGTCATGCAGCACTGGCATGAGTGAGAGCATTGACAACAGCTCTTGTATTGCACTGGTCCCAGTGACTTCACTGCACAATTCCGCCTTCTGCAAACATCCATGTATATCCCTGTAATCCCTGTACATCTATCTACATTCCTGTACATCTATACATTCCTGTAGATTTCCATATATCTCCGTATATCCCTGTCCATCTCTGTACATCCCTGGATATGTCACTCCATTGCAGCAGGTGAAAGGAGGGAGCTGTGGAATATTTGTGCTTTTTTAGTTACCTTTGCAAATAAGATGGAAATTATTGTATTTTGTCTTAGAATAGATTACTTGAAACTGACATTGTATTTGCATTTGTTTACCAAGATAAAGAGGTAAAATATTAATATTACCAAAAGACAGACTGTACTGCAGTTAAAGTCCACATCCTTAATTATAATTGAGTCGTCGATCCTTAATTATAATTGAGTCGTCGGTATACTGTTTCTATCATCATAGGAAGAACCATAAATTATAGTCTTATAGGTTGCATCTTTACACCATGTAACACTGAACGCACACAAGGGAGGCCATTGATACTTAATACGATAATGCAGTTGCACTCCATAGTATAACGCTACCTTTTTAACACATTCCTGCGGAGGGAGCTGGTAGGAACGTTGGGTTGCTCGATCAATGGCCAGGGTCAACGGCGGCACCACGTGGTGTATTCCGCAAATATGCCCGACTGTGAGGGCGGGCACAAGCCGGCGTGAGTAGGTTAAACGTTGCGTCTTATAAGGGCACCACGGGGTGACCAGCCCCTCCCCACCCCTCCCACCCCCCAACCAGCCCCTCCCCACCCTCCCCACCCAGCCCCTCCCCACCCTCCCCACCCAGCCCCTCCCCACCCACCCCTCTCCACCCAGCCCCACCCCTCCCATTTTTGGATGCACGACGGACGGACGGACACAATGATCCCCTGTGGGCTGGTGTAACCAGGAGGTTCCTACCAGTATAGTGCCACAACAAAATATACCCAGCCCACTCACTCCGTGCAAGGCACCAACACCTCGTGTGGCCACTGCCACCAAGGGGCCTGGTGACCGGCACGGGGCCCTCACCGCTCGCCAGGGCCTGTCCACCACGCGGGCACGTTTCATGACCACGTGATCGCGACACTCGGCCAATACACTCACCTGGCACCTCACCAGACACTCAGCACTCACTTTACACCACTCACCTGATAACACTCACCACGCACTTTACACCACTCACCTGATAACACTCAGCACTCATTTTACACCACTCACCTGATAACACTCAGCACTGACTTTACACCACTCACCTGATAACACTCAGCACTCACTTTACACCACTCACCTGATAACACTCAGCACTCACTTTACACCACTCACCTGATAACACTCACCACTCACTTTACACCACTCACCTGATCTCACTCGCAACTCACCAAATGCTGACCCTCACCAGACACTCACCACGCAGCACACTCTCAGCGAGGAATGGCCCGACACTGGGGGGGGGGTGGGGGGGGCGGTCGAGTCAACCTGTCCCATGCTGCTCTGGTTCGCCTGAGCACACAGAGGTTGCTCCGGTCGATGCTGCAGGCTGCACGGCGCGGGCCGCTCCAGACGAAGAGGGGCGGGTTCGCCACGTGTCCATCTCCCGTGTTCACCTCACATGGCCGCAGCTGGACTCGACGATTAACGAATCGTGTTCGTTGGGTAATTTGGAAGCCTCGTGGTGCCGTTTCGTTGGCGGTGATTTGGCCGGCCGAGGTGGAGGGGGTTGGTAGGGGGGTCGAGACATCCTCGCCGCTTCGTGTTCCTGCTACGGCGTGCGCAGGCACCCAGCGCACTTTCCCACGGCATCACTGTGTGCTGCCTGATTTGTACAAAGATGCCTTTCTGGATCTGGAAAAATAATCTGAAGTGGGCTACACATTCCTGGTGGAGCAACTCCAAGCGCTTTCCACGACGCTGGTGACCTCTCCCATGCACCACGCGACCTCCACGGGGTTCCCGAAATGAAGCGAGCGAATTCACGTGATGAGCGTTTTCAGTGCACAATCGTACGGTATTCTATATATAAAAGTCTTGCTGGCTGGATTGCTGCCATTGAGCCGGGGTGAGGCCCACTGACGTCACGTCTATACGCTGTCACACTGCCATATCATCATCCTCATACTATCATCAGCGGTTAGCGCGCTGCACGATGAACCTGAAGATCCGCGTTTGATTTTCGACCATAAGCAAACTTTGGTAGTGAATAATTTTCTGAACGCATCCCGGGCCACCCTCTTCATTGATCCACATTGACCAGCGTGGTGAAGTATGGTCATATAACCCTCCCCCCCCCCCCCCCCCAATGACCTGCGCGGCTTGCAGGGGTGGTGCTTCTCCAGCTGTGGATTGACAAAAGGGCTGCACGGCGTGGTGATCACCGCTACAAAATTTGAGCGGGGAGCTCAAGTAAATGCTTGGTTGAGGTTTAATGCTTGGACAAAGTCGTCACCCACGTCGGCGTGCGTTCACGTCCATGCTTCCGCGTGGCTTTTACGTAAAAAAATATCACCCTGGGCGTGTGCTGGGCCCTCCCGCGCGCTGGTAGACGTTGGCTTGAATAACGGAGGCACTTGCCAACCATTAATGCGATAATTTCTCTTTCAGCCTCGGCTCGTGATCGATGTTGCGCACCCCCCCCCCCGCGCCGCCCCGTGGGTGATTCACGGCGCGTCGATGTGGAGCGATCCGTGGCGCCCTGGGCCTCATTGCTTCGTTATGCGCGACGCCTGCCACATTTATTTTCTCATCGTGGATATTGAGGAGAGTCCACGCTTCGGATACGTCACGCTCTGGAGTCCAGAACGTTGATGAAAAAAAAAGAGTTCAGGGACACTGCAACTGCGCAACACATTAAGGTCGCGCTCGTGTTTCCAATCCCATCAGCGGCAACGTTATCCGCGGATACTTGACGTTGCACAAATCCCTTGAAAAACCCGCGTGGCATTTTTCGGCCCCACGTGATGACAACTCACAGATTTTATTTCAGGCCACAGCGAAACCAGGGGCAGGGAGGATCGCTCGTCGTCCCCATCCGCGTGCCGTCGTGCTCCCAGCACCGCGAGTCGCAGCGGTTTGGTAATTTCGTGGCCGGGATCCCCAGGGCCCTGTCTCACCGTCAGCTGTCGGCGTCTGCGGCTGAACGGCTTCACGCACCGTGCGGCAGCTGACAGTTGTCGCGCATCGATCTGGAAGATTCACTACACGTGCAGTGGACAGTGTGACACTCTAGCGTGACACTCTACCGTGACACTCTCGCGTGACACTCTAGTGTGACACTCTAGCGTGACACTCTAGTGTGACACTCTAGCGTGACACTCTAGTGATTCGTAGCGGGCTCTGATAGCGCCATCGCTGCGAGGATTTTTTTAAATCAAATCCGGACGGTCCAGGGATCGCCGTCCGTGATCTGGTGTCAGGAATTGATTCGTAGACAGCTCTGGTACCGACGTTGCTGCGGTGAACTTCAACGCAGTACCGCTGCAGAGTGGCCACAACAGCGCCGAGCGACAAATACATCTGGGGAGTTTCTTTTTGTTGTTTGTTTTGTTCTCCCTCTACGGATAAGGTGGCGACCCTGGGCTCGTGCTTGCGCGTGTTCACCCTCGCAGGGTTCAAGTGCCCCCTGTGCTCCAAGTCGTTCATCGCCGACGAGATGGAAGCGCACATATCCCTGTGCCTGGCCAAGCCCCGGATCACCTACAACGGTGAGAAGCGTCGCACCGCGCCGGGACACGCCTCGCGGACGAATGCGGTCCGGCCACCACCGGCACCCCCGCCATGGGGGAATTGATGATCGCCAGGATTCCCTGGCGATCATCGGTTCACGCAGAGGAACAATTCCCCAGCAGCACGTGTCTCAACTGGCTCCAGCCCACCCCGTCTTCTCATTCCAGATGAAAACAACAAAGAGAGAGTTGGGTTTTTACGGGCAACGCAACATGTACTGCCGTTGACCTTCCTACGCACACGTAACGTGTGGATGCGCACGTGCGGATTGTGACGTGGTAATTGACGTGTGCAAGTTCAGTGTGATGTACGGAGGCACACACTCGAGTTGGAGGCAACACGTTTATTTAACAACTCCCCAACAGGGTAACTGACTAAACGCTAAGTGATAGCTACGCAGTTAATTATGTGAGCAGCGGGTTAACGACACGAACGGGCCAGTCAGCCTACACGCCGCCTGACCCACGATGCCGAGCGAACACGGAAGACGACGAGACGCAGCACCCAGGGTTGATTCCAGAGACGAGCCCCGATCACTCCCGGGGCTTCTCCTCTATCCCGTTCAGCGTGGCCCCCCCCCACCCTCGGCCCCGCCCCCCCTTCTCGATCTTGCCAGAAGGCTCCCGGCTCGCATCACGTGCCCCTCGGGTCCCCTTTTCTGTTCACACGGAGCAGCACGTCCGCACCTGCTCACCTCCAACCCATCAGCAGAACCATCCCCCATGGTCCGCTTCCACGGCAACCCATGTCTGGTGATAGAGAGCGACGTGCATCACAAACCCCGTGGCAGCAGGTGGCGCCAACCACCGTCGTGGCTCAACTCGGTCACCACACTAACAGCATAGTGACACCATTAACGTCACCGCACATGCGCGGCAAAGCCACACGAAGGTTCGTAGGGTGCTCTCTCTCTCTCACGAGGCTCCTGCATTGGGTTTTGTATTTTAAGATGAATCTCATTCAAATTTATAAAGGGGGAGGAAATCGAAGCACCCCGGACAAAACCCACGCGTGCGCTAGGGGGCAACAGTCTACCCTCGTACAGATGGAAACAGATGGCGATTAAGTCCCACTTGCTATACCGCCTTCTCCTGGCCAGCCCAGGGCATGGCACCACCACCGTGTCCACGGGAAGGGAGGTTTCACAACAACATCTGTGCGGTGGTCCACCAACCCTCGCTGCTGCTGCCGCCGCCGACACAATGTTGGATCGCTACAGGCAGCAGTCACGTGCAGCGCAGCCACCACCAGCGCATCAATCTCACGGCTGTTACGATGGTGGAACAGAATGCAGTTTTGCTGGCTGGCTGCCTGGACTTCATGTCCGGAGGGAGGGAGGGAGCAGTGCCGGATTAAACTAGTGCGGGGCCCGTAGCGTATGTTATAAAAAGTGCGCTAAATAAAACAAAAATATTAACACGCGAAAATGTTTATTTGCATAGTAAAGTAATTGTGTTTTTTTCATTTGCTATACAGCCAGATAATACGACAAATCGCTAACCTTAAACACCCAGTCGTTCATAAAAGTTGAAGGCGGTATAGTACTATAGTAATAGAGCAAGTGTAGAATCACTGAACCGGAATTGATAGCTTGAAAGCAGTTAGCGCGGGGGCCCTTGAAACTGCGGAGCCCCTAGTATATGTAGTATAGTACTATAGTAATAGAGCAAGTGCAGAATCACTGTACCGGAATTGATAGCTTGAAAGCATTTAGCGCGGGGCCCTTGAAAGTGCGGGGCCCGTAGCTACTACATGTATAGCTACTTGTGCTACTGGGATAATGTGGCACTGGGAGGGAGGGGAGGGATGGACGATCACGTCCAAATGACGTACGGGCTTGCTAGTTATTAACATAAAATACAACAATTAAGTGTTTTTTTTCTCTCTCGAAAATATAAATGAAATTCGTCGTCTGCACTGTAATTGTGATAGTTGCTGCGACGCGTTGGACGCGTACCTGGAGGAAGAGGCATTGCCACGCGCGCAGAGCTACATGTAGCTCCGCAGTGGACCTGCAGAGAGAAGACTTCTTCTGCACAGAGTCGGGGCGAACTTTGGCTTTCTGGCCACTCTTGCAAACGACGTTCCATGTTTAAATAAGTAACTGACATCTCGAGAATGTGGGGGGAGTGAGGAGCGGCGGTGTGACGGTTAGCGCACTGCGCTTACGAGCCTGACCACCCGAGTTCGATTCCCGCTGACGGCCAACACCAGTGACAATTATCTCAACTGCTCCTGGGCCTCCCCGAGGTGGACTCAGCCTCAAATGAGTGCCTGGTGCCGTGTGTAAACATCGCCACGAGGGAGACAAAGGCTGCTGAGCGTGGTGCTGGCCACCCACCGCTTCGTGTGCCGTGCCGGCCTTCAAATGTGCTCGCTGACAGCACTGGCCCCAATATTATGTGAAGGTGTAAAGGCGAAAACGGGGGATGTGTTTTGTCTTTTTAAGATGATGTGCTGAGTAAGCACAGCGGGGAGTGCGCCATCTGCCTGGAGGAGCTGGAACTGGGAGACACCATCGCCCGGCTACCGTGCCTCTGCGTCTACCACAAAGGGTGATTCACACTCACCCTCTCTCACGTGACACTCACCCTCTCACGTGACAATCACCCTCTCTCACGTGACACTCTCACGTGACACTCACCCTCTCTCACGTGACACTCACCCTCTCTCACGTGACACTCACCCTCTCTCACGTGACACTCACCCTCTCTCACGTGACACTCACCCTCTCTCACGTGACACTCACCCTCTCTCACGTGACAATCACCCTCTCTCACGTGACACTCTCACGTGACACTCACCCTCTCTCACGTGACACCCTTTCACGTGACACTCACCCTCTCTCACGTGACACTCACCTTCTCTCACGTGACACTCACCCTCTCTCACGTGACACTCACCCTCTCTCACGTGACACTCACCCTCTCTCACGTGACACTCACCCTCTCATGTGACACTCACCATCTCCTGTGACACTCACCATCTCTCACGTGACATTCACCCTCTCACGTGACAATTACTCTCTCACGTGACACTCACCCTTTCACGTGACACTCACCCTTTCACGTGACAATCACCATCTCTCACGTGACACTCACCCTCTCTCACGTGACACTCACCCTCTCACGTGGCACTCAACCTCTCACGTGGCACTCACCCTCTCACGTGACACTCAACCTCTCACTTGACACTCACTCTCTCACGTGACACTCTCTCACGTGACACTCACCCTCTCACGTGACACCCTCTCACGTCACATTCACTCTCTCCCATGACACTCACCTTCGCCCGTGACACTCACCTTCGCCCGTGACACATGCCCTCACCAAATCACTCTTTTCGAATCACACAACAACTATCGCCCCCTACTGCCACAATAATGCGCGTTTGCAGGACAGATGCTGAGTCACCCTGTGCCGCACAGGGGCAGCTGCCACTGGGGGTGCTCTTCAAATGTGTTAATGAGATGCGAGACGCTCCGGCGTGCAGGAGGTAGGCTCTCTCAAACACAGGAGGTAGGTTCTAACAAACACAGGGGGTAGGTTATATCAAACACAGGAGGTAGGTTCTATGAAACACAGGAGTTAGGTTCTATGAAACACAGGGGGTAGGCTCTATCAAACACAGGAGGTAGGTTCTATCAAACACAGGGGGTAGGTTCTATCACACACAGGAGGTAGGCTCTATCACACACAGGAGGTAGGCTCTGTGAAACACAGGGGGTAGGTTCTAACAAACACAGGAGGTAGGTTCGGTGAAACACAGGAGGTAGGTTCTGTGAAACACAGGGGGTAGGTTCTATCAAACACAGGGGGTAGGTTCTAACAAACACAGGGGGTAGGTTATATCAAACACAGGAGGTAGGTTCTATGAAACACAGGAGTTAGGTTCTATGAAACACAGGGGGTAGGCTCTATCAAACACAGGAGGTAGGTTCTATCAAACACAGGGGGTAGGTTCTATCACACACAGGAGGTAGGCTCTATCACACACAGGAGGTAGGCTCTGTGAAACACAGGGGGTAGGTTCTAACAAACACAGGAGGTAGGTTCTGTGAAACACAGGAGGTAGGTTCTGTGAAACACAGGGGGTAGGTTCTATCAAACACAGGGGGTAGGTTCTATCAAACACAGGGGGTAGGTTCTAACAAACACAGGAGGTAGGTTCTGTGAAACAGGAGGTAGGTTCTGTGAAACACAGGAGGTAGGTTCTATCAAACACAGGGGGTAGGTTCTATCAAACACAGGGTGTAGGTTCTATCAAACACAGGGGGTAGGTTCTATCAAACACAGGGTGTAGGTTCTATCGAACACAGGGGGTAGGTTCTATTAAACACAGGGGGTAGGTTCTATCAAACACAGGGGGTAGGTTCTATCAAACACAGGGGGTAGGTTCTATCAAACACAGGAGGTAGGCTCTGTGAAACACAGGAGGTAGGGTCTATCAAACACAGGGGGTAGGCTCTATCAAACACAGGGGGTATGTTCTATCAAACACAGGGGGTAGGTTCTATCAAACACAGGGGGTAGGCTCTATGAAACACAGGGGGTAGGTTCTATCAAACACAGGGGGTAGGTTCTATCAAACACAGGGGGTAGGCTCTATGAAACACAGGGGGTAGGTTCTATCAAACACAGGGGGTAGGTTCTATCAAACACAGGAGGTAGGCTCTATGAAACACAGGGTTAGGTTCTATCAAACACAGGAGGTAGGCTCTATGAAACACAGGGGGTAGGTTCTATCAAACACAGGGGGTAGGTTATATCAAACACAGGGGGTAGGTTCTATCAAACACAGGGGGTAGGTTCTATCAAACACAGGAGGTAGGTTCTATGAAACACAGAAGGTAGGCTCTATGAAACACAGGAGGTAGGCTCTATGAAACACAGGAGTTAGGCTCTATGAAACACAGGGGGTAGGTTCTATCAAACACAGGAGGTAGCTTCTGTGAAACACAGGAGGTAGGTTCTATCAAACACAGGGGGTAGGTTCTATCAAACACAGTAGGTAGCCCCTGTGAAACACAGGGGGTAGGTTCTATCAAACACAGGGGGTAGGCTCTATCAAACACAGGGGGTAGGTTCTATGAAACACAGGAGGTAGGCTCTATCAAACACAGGGGGTAGGTTTTATCAAACACAGGGGGTAGGTTCTATCAAACACAGGGGGTAGGTTCTATCAAACACAGGGAGTAGGTTCTATCAAACACAGGAGGTAGGTTCTATGAAACACAGGGGGTAGGTTCTATCAAACACAGGGGGTAGGTTCTATCAAACACAGGGGGTAGGTTCTATCAAACACAGGGGGTAGGTTCTATCAAACACAGGGGGTAGGTTCTATCAAACACAGGAGGTAGGTTCTATCAAACACAGGGGCTAGGTTCTTTAAAACACAGGGGTAGGTTCTATCAAACACAGGGGGTAGGTTCTATCAAACACAGGGGGTAGGTTCTATCAAACACAGGGGGTAGGTTCTATCAAACACAGGGGGTAGGTTCTATCAAACACAGGGGGTAGGTTATATCAAACACAGGGGGTAGGTTCTATCAAACACAGGGGGTAGGTTCTATCAAACACAGGGGGTAGGTTATATCAAACACAGGGGGTAGGTTCTATCAAACACAGGGGGTAGGTTCTATCAAACACAGGGGGTAGGTTCTATCAAACACAGGGGGTAGGTTCTATCAAACTCAGGGGGTAGGTTCTATCAAACACAGGGTGTAGGTTCTATCAAACACAGGGGGTAGGTTCTATCAAACACAGGGGATAGGTTCTATCAAACACAGGGTGTAGGTTCTATCAAACACAGGGGGTAGGTTCTATCAAACACAGGGGGTAGGTTCTATCAAACACAGGGGGTAGGTTCTATCAAACACAGGGGGTAGGTTATATCAAACACAGGCGGTAGGTTCTATCAAACACAGGGGGTAGGTTCTATCAAACACAGGAGGTAGGCTCTATCAAACACAGGAGGTAGGTTCTATCAAACACAGGGGGTAGGTTCTATCAAACACAGGGGGTAGGTTCTATCAAACACAGGGGATAGGTTCTATCAAACACAGGAGGTAGGTTCTATCAACCACAGGAGGTAGGTTCTATCAAACACAGGGGGTAGGTTCTATCAACCACAGGAGGTAGGTTCTATCAAACACTGGGGGTAGGTTCTATCAAACACAGCTCAAGGTCATCACGGACACTCCCGAGCCGCGCTCACGCCCGTGCCCGGCACTCGTCACGTGGCAGGCGCTCTGCACTCTGCACAGACTCCACACGTTTGCTCCTCTCCACTCCGAGCACAATGTAAAACTCGTACGATACATTCATCTTCTCGATTGCCCGTTATCTTGCTCTTCCCACCCCTCGCCCCGCCACTCCTTGACATCCCTCCCTAATCCCCTTTCTTCATCCCTAAGTGTCGCTCATTCCTCAAGGCAGGTACGCCGCTGCCATCTAAATCAGTCTTTTGTTCCGCCACCGTTGTGTAAGCTATGCCAAGTCTTGAGTGAAGGCGCTCGATTATAAAATAGATTGTATTTTATTCATTATTGCGCTTTGTCCACCCAGGAAAGCCTCACCGAGTCTCCTAACTTTTTTTTCACGAGGTTCCTGACCAGTTTTATCGCTGCTGCGTGCGATCCCGGTTGAGTCATTTGCAGGTACACTTTCAGCATCGTGCGTGTTTTATTATCCGACCTTACCGGCAGCGTTCTAACATTAACCGCGATAGCTCTTGTGTTAGGTCCCCGGATCAGTTAAATAATACAAAAGTAACCACAAGAGGCTTCCGTACTGCGCGGGTGCATCGTCGTGTCGTTCTTCGGCACGATGTCCGACGTTTCACCCCACGTGCTGGGAGCTACTTCAGGAAGAAGCTCGCGCGGCGCAACACGAATCACGCGCCTGAGAGTTGTGCTGCTGCCTTTGTTGCGTGGGTGACTCCGTGCCGCGCTCTGCTGCTCTTCCCTGCAGCTGCATCGACTCCTGGTTTGAGATCAACCGCTCGTGCCCCGAGCACCCGGCCGACTGAACGACTCGCCCAGGAGGTGCATGGGGAGGGTGGCGGGGAGGAGGAGGAGGAGGAGATGGGGGTGTGGAGCTCAACCTCTCTCCTCGCCACCTGAACCCAAGCTGCAAACGACGAGAAATCCCAGCCGCCACCGTAGTGGAACGATGGCGTGGGTTCCCGGGACGCCCACGGCTTTCAGGTGGCACCCCGACGCTCGCGAAGAGCGCGCCGCCCTTTGTGCATTCTGCAAAACCCACCAGCAGCTCCTGAAGAAGTTGCACTGTGGTCCTCTCGGCTTGAGGTTTACCCCCTCCGCCTTAGCCGTAGCGACGTTGTCCAGGCAGTGCGGGCGTAGGAAGGGCAGGGGCTGCATCACTCCGCGCCGTTCGCTGCCTCACGAGTTCCCCAAATGTGGACGGCAGCCCTGGGTGCGTTCCGTGTCAAGAGAGGAACCACGCGGACTTTCTTGCTTCCATGGCATTCCCTGATAACGTAAGCCTGCCCCTTCTCCACCATCATCACCACTACCAACAACAATTGAAGTTTGTCCGCCTTGAAACATTCAGAAATTTTGCCCGTACATTCGTGATTTCCGATCGCCGCGTTCGGTTGCCGACGCGGATCAGCGAACTGGGTCAGCAAGCGGCAGTTCAGGTAGCAGAGCCGACAGCGACACCAGTGAAGGGAGCGGGGGACTTGGGAGCGATGAGGAGCGTCCGCGCTGCGCTTGCGCGAGCGTTCGCTACGCCGGTTGATGCTCTTTGCAGTCGTAACCTGCCTGCCTGGGATATTAAAAACCTCAACGCTGTCGTCAATAGCAACACCGTGGCCTTACGAAGGAAGCGCATATAATAGGCGACGTTTCGGGCAATGGCCCCTTCGTCAAAGCACATGCATGAAGAAGGGACATTGCCCGAAACGTCATCTTATTTACGCTTCCTTTGTAAGGCCACGGTGTTGCTCTTGACGACTGTGCTGAGGGTTTTGTTTAGCGTGCCACTGGCGATGTGGCAGCAGCAGCAGCAGCTACATCACGAAATAATTTGCTTATCTAACGACTCATTCTAGTTGACGATCTCACACTAATCATTCAAAGTTGACAATCGAACAATAATGATTCAACCACGGAGGGTAGCGTTCGCTGCGACAACCCCCGTGTCGCGCTCACACTCGCCGTGCTGCTCTGCTCTCGGCGTCCGTCTCCCATTGCGGGTGATGGCCGGCAGGGAGTGGACCGTGCCTCCGTGGGACCCGTGCCACCGTGGGCCCCGTGGCCCGTGCCTCCGTGGGACCCGTGCCACCGTAGGCCCCGTGCCTCCGTGTGCCCCGTGGCCTGTGCCCCGTGCCTCCCTGGGCCCCATGGCCCGTGCCTCCCTGGGCCCTATGGCCCCGTGCCTCCCTGGGCCCCGTGGCCCGTGTCGCCATGGGCCCCGTGGCCCGTGCCACCGTTTTTCGCCCTCCACGGACCGCCGCGCCCACGCTGACTGCGGACGTTACGGTGGAAACTCGCCACCCTATATTTTTTGTTGAACCGTTATTTTTTGCACTTTTTTAAATTTGCTTCTTGTTTCACGAAATAAAGAACGTCGAGGCCACTCCGCTACAGTTGCGCACCCCCCCCCCCCCCTTCTCCTCCACAGCACGAGCAGTGAGCCTCTCCTGCGAGCGCGTGGGGGGTGGGGGGCCCCGGGGCGTTTACCAGCGGTGCTTCACACGGCCGGTTCAATTCCCACTCCACGTGGTGGTTGTACGGGAGATTGAGCGCCGTGTCCCAGTAGCCCGCCGGAAGGCCGTTGACTTGCGTGCAGCCACTTTCAATTTGCTGGCAGAAGAGAGATATTTTAATTTGAGGCATATTTAAATGCTTTTTTTTTTTTTTTAGACGCCAAACCACTTCGAGTCTCGGAGAGTACCTCGTCTTTTATTGCGCGACAGAGGCTGGAACACAGCGTCGTTGTCATACCTGTCAACCCCTTATCAGTGCCCTACCTTATGACAGGCCAATTCAGACCTTATTGGTCACCCCCGTGCCCTTATACATCGCAACGTGCATCCTACAAAGTCCCATCACAAGGGAGTAACACAAACAAATAAACAAACACATTTTGTTTTAATTCTAGATTTGGAGCTTTCGTGACTGCAAGGATTCATACTCTCTGTTTTTTTCGGCAAAGTCACGTAGGTCCATGAAGCCATCCAGATATACAAACATAGACACAACTTCAACCGAGAGGATGGTTTTAAATTGAGCAACTTTTGGAAATATGTCATAAACCAAGTCAAACTTTAGCTGGGTTATAATTGTACAGCCGTTTCCGTTTCTACCAGGATTGTACTCGCTCTCGTGCAGCACGTCATCACCCTCCCCCAGAACCCCCTGCAGCATAACAAAAGGTGGTTTTACGTGCAAGTACACCACCGCCTCCCCGAGAACCCCCTGCAGAATAACAAAAGGTGGTTTTTCGTGCAAGTACACCACCGCCTCCCCGAGAAACCCCCGGCAGAATAACAAAAGGTGGTTTTACATGCAAGTACACCACCGCCTCCCCGAGAACCCCCTGCAGAATAACAAAAGGCGGCTTAACTTAGCCCCCCCTCCCCACCCACGTCCCTTCCTGGCTCCTCCCACCCCCCCCCCCCCCCTTAACCTGTCAATATAATCTCGTGTGTCCCAGAGCTGTTCACTTGATACAGCTAATTTTGCTGTGTCTGTTCCACCTGAAGACGGGAAGCTTGTGTTGCCTCCGAAACGTCGTGATTTAATGTAGTTGTTTTCATTTATTTTATTTATTTTACCTACGTGACTTTACCGAAAAAAACCAAAGAGTACATTTTTGTTTTGCCCGCAATGAAACGGCTGTACGCCGTGTGGACCTGAAACACTCAATTTCCCCGGACAAGAATACTACGGGGTAAACCGTGTGGGTTGACAGCTCTTGCGTTGTCGAATGCGGATTATCCCCTAAGAGGATGTGCTGCGGCGATAAATTCGTACACCCGACGACATCACCGATCAGAGATTTCCCGACTCCCCCCCTCCCCCCACGCTTCCCCCCAAATATTTGGCAGAAAGTGGACGTGGCTTTGGCCAAAGGGTCGTTTGTTTGCCCATTTATGGTCGTTGTGGATCGTTGATCAAGATTAGTTGTATCGATTCCGCTCAGTCGATCGCTAATAAACAAACGTGTAAAAAATAAATACCGGGTTCATCATAATTTGCGGGTTAATCGCTGCGTCGATTCATTTGCCGATCGATCCGTAGACCGAGCAATGATGTGACACGCACCCCTTCGTTTGATTGGCTGATATCAGCAAGATCGGTGATTCCGTCGCAGTCCGCTTTTATTGTTACCACGGCAACCGCGTCCTTGTGCATGCACAACGCTCTTGCATCCCGCCATTACATTTCTCTGCCGATCGCTTTTATTGCCATCGCGATTTATTGTATTAGAATGCATAATACAGGGTGCTTCAAAAAAGTGTTAACACTTCCGAGAATTGGCAACAATATCACGTGACATGTGCTGCTGCCTCCGGGCTCTGGAGACCACCTGGGAGAAGATTCCAGGCCACGTGTTGACAACGATGGGAGACTCTTTGACTCTTTGAAGCTATTAACGTACATTTGTTATCATGTAACAGTGTATTATCCGTTGTCTTTCCATTTAAAACGATAGGCCCATATAAGTGTTAACACTTTTTTTTTAAAGGACCCTGTATATTTGTTTTACTTTGTGATTTTGAGTGGCCAAACCCTCCTGTCGCTTCGAACTGTAAAGTTGCTTTCAAAATGTGCTGCATCACCACCACCACAACATAATTTGGTTGAGAATATTTTCTTGATAAGATTATCCAGGTGAGATGGTACAGGTAAGATTATGTGAGTAAGATTATGGAGGTGAGATTATTCACGTGCGATTATCAAGATGAGATGATTATCTTGGTAAGATTATCCGGGTAAAATGATCCAAGTGAGATTATCCAGGTAAGGTTATACAGGTGTGATTGTCTGGGTAAGATTATCAGGGTAAGATTATTCGGATAAGATTGTCAGGGTAAGATTATCCGGGTAAGATGATCAGGGTAAGATTATTCGGGTAAGATTGTAAGGGTAAGATTATCAGGGTAATATAATCCTGCTAAGATTATCCAGGTGAGATTATACAGATGATATTATCTGGGTAAGATTATCCGGGTAAGATTATCAGGGTAAGAATAACCGGTTAAGATTGTTTGGTTGAGATGATCCTGGGAAGAATATCCAGGTTAGATTATCTCTGTAAGATGATCCGGGTAATATTATCCAGGTGAGATTATACAGATGATATTATCTCGGTAAGATTATCCGAGTAAGATTATCCAGGTGAGATTGTCCAGGTAAGATTGTCCGGGTAAGATTATCCAGGTGAGATTATCCAGGTAAGATTGTCCGGGTAAGATTGTCCGTGTAAGGTTATCCGGGGCTGACATTTCCTTCGTGTCCACCTGGGGTTGCACTCTTATGCGACGTGGGTTAAAAGCAATGACACACCAGGAGAGGTTTACGTGCGAAATGTGTTTGTAGTCGAGCTGGGACCATAACGCCAAGCCATTTGGCCAGTGGTGAACATCTCATTTTTATTGTACCCGTGAGTAATCTGGCTTCCGAGCGCTCCGTATGTGACGGGGAGCACGCGATGGGGCACAATCAGAATGGGATTCTTTATTTCGACCGGAGGAATCCGATGAGCTATGAAGCTCATCTCCTTCTCACAAACCCGCACGCACCCCCATCGCATCGTGCCGAGTTATCTGTGACGACGCCGCGGCGTCACCGTCTCTCCGCCACTGTCCCGTAAGCACCCTTGAGCGAAATGCCGTGGGGGGTGGGGGTGGAGGTGAAATCTGTTGGTGAGCGACGGTGCAGTACGCCTCGGGGCACGGAGTCCTTCGGGCATCGCAGGCCAACGCTGGTAGCGGCACGAGCTCGCTCTCCCCTCCCCCTTGCCAGACCTCCCAGCTGGTGCACGGCCGCCGCCACACCACCGATGGTCTCCCACCCGTCCGCCTTTAGGTTCCACGAAACGACCCCTCCGCGGCTTGAGCGCAAAATCCCCGTGTGGGTGCTGTGCAGGTGGGGGCGCGGCGCGTTCTGGGCGATGCCCACACGGCTGTTGCCCCAATGATTGTTGTCACCTTGGAGCCAAGGGTGGCTTCCCCTTGCGTAGCTTCTTCGTGGTTTAATTTTTTTGGACGCAGTTTACCAATCTGGCTTCGAAAGTCCGAACCGCAAGGCTTAGCGGGTACCGTTGCAACGGCGAGTGCAATCGCTTGCGAGGTTACGGATCACAACCGGACAGCTGTCGCCGTGATCCCATCTGGGGAGACATTGATTGTGTTGTTTAACACGTAGGCTGACTATTATGGATGGATTATGTTGTCTAAGAGTTTCTCTCGAGGTAGCGGCGGCCGCCTAAAGCTGCTCAATCAGCGTCACGAGCAAGGGAAATGTTCCGCGGTTCCTTGGCTCAAATATCCAGCAGCAGTTGCCACATCCCAGCTTCGTGGTGGATGGAGTTGGAACTCCGGTCCATCTTTGCTCCGAGCTGTAGGCAAATTGCCACAGTCTTCACCGTGGGATTAGTGAATGTCGTTCGTTAGCAAACGTAACAATATTTTAAAGGAATCGGTCACTGCAATTGGAACGGTTTACGATATTCCATTACGGACATCGTCTCCACCGAAGAGTGCGAGGAAATTAATTCGTAATGATTTTTAAGTAATAATAATAACCTAAAGCTTTACACGCAGTGTCTCCCAGCAGACATGACCACAAATGTATCCCCCCCCCCCCCCCAAGGTGTCCTCGTGTACGCGGTTCACATCCCGTGCCTGGATCGGCCGCGTTCCACTTTGTGGTGGTCGCGTGCGCGTAGCCGTGGCCGTGTGGGGAGGTCAACCACGGGGTTGTAAGAGGCGTTTCACACCACGACCTCGGTGCTAGATTTTTTTAGTTTAGTTTGTTTGGCACAAAACTCCCAAGAGCACCAAAAATATACGCGTCGAGCTATTCTTGCGTCCGTCTCCACGTTTTGCCAAACCCACCCGAGTGGGAAGAAAAAAAAACCCCGCAAACACACAACTTGAAACTCTCGATGCTACTCGATGCTGCTTGCCAACGTTAGCGGAAACGCGACATCGCCACTCGGCCGCGTGGCTCTCGCCAGGACTTCTGAGCAGGGGAGTGATTGTTGTCTCGATATGGCGATGACGTCTGTTACCGTCGCGTGAGAGAGAGGGGGGGCGGGCATCTCCTTCCAGAGTAGAGATCGCAGGCCTCAGCGTGGGTGGGGTGGTGGGGGGGGGAGGTCACCCTACAGGACAGATGATTGGCAAGATCTGACCTGTGAAAGGGATTTGACCCCCCCCCCCTCCTGCACAGCGTTCGCGATGGTGGGTCAAAGGTCGTTAGCCGTGGTGCCGCCCAGACCCCCCAAAAAAATGACATCTCTCGCTACGCCAACTGCACTCGTGCACAGAAGCAACGTTGTGCCGCAGCTTGGCCACGCGTCACGGGTTGTAGCCGCGTTGCCGGGCTCTGCTCTGTACGGACGTTCACGAGTTGCGCCGTTCGTGCTCTGTGTAGGCGTGGGTCAAGCGCCGTGTTTTCCGATGCAAGTTCTTGACCAACGCGGCTCTGTTTGTTCTCTTTGGGTTTTTGTTGTTGTTGTTGTTGCGGAAGCACATCTGGCCTCTTGTTTTACAGACAGGAGGCGCGTTGCACTCGGCTCCGAACAGTCACGCAGACCGGTGGACCAACTTTCAGAGTTAAATGCATTTCCAACGCGCCCTTCTGGACTCTGTCATATATCACCGGCCGCTTAATTTTTCAATGTCAGTGTGCCAGAGGAGATTGTCTTGGAGTGCGCTATTCAAATATTGAAGAATCCAGATATGTTCGTCATAAAAAAACAGACAATACTCCACGGGATCCATAGCGAGATGTGTCCGTGCAAGTGGCCGCATCTTTACAAATCGTTTCGCGCGGTGGCCTCCACGAACGTGCGCGTGGCCTCGCGAAAGTGCGGGCAATGCCGGCGGT